TAAATTAAAACTGTTTACATTTATGTTGTTTTGACATATATCGGCACTCTGAGTGTTAGCGTTGACACGTCACGTGACCATGTCGATGACAACTTGAATTTTCTCCCCATCCAAACCTGCCCAATAGAAGTTTTCACTTTAAAAATATTTTAGCGCAAAGGCTTTAAAATTTTATCATATAAAACTTATATTATGCCGACTCAGTATAAAATTAAAGAAAGTTAAATAAGTAAAATTTTACTATTATTTTTTTTTTTCATTTTATACTGAGTAACAATATTAGTTTTAAGAGTATGTCTTCTTATAGTGGTTGGAAACCCACAGAAATATGTACATATGTGCCTACCTATCGTGCAAATAATTAACATTACTTAATCAAGTTCTCATCAACAATAAATTTAATTGACTTAATCTTCTTAATAAGTCTTGGTTGTCGTGCAATAATTTAAATTACTTTTATACTCATATAATTATACCTAGCATTTAATGACATAAACGGTCAACTGACTGGTAGATACTTGATACAGTTTTATAGAAAAAGTCATGTACCAGTAAAAAATGCACAATTTTAGTTTTTTTTAAATATACTAGAATATGTATTTAAAAATTATAAAATATTTATTTTTTCAATAAAATTTATAATGAATATAAAATAACTTTAGACGTAATTGGTCCACCTTACATTGTTGTAATGCCTTTTTTATATCTCTTAATATATAATTAATTTAAAAAAAAAAACATGAATATTTGGGGAACTTCACAGTTGGCGAAGAGTGTCTTCTACACACAAGTAATACACAAAAAACACACCCACAAGGAGTACCTTTTAATGTCGGTAAAAATACGAATATATACTTACTAAAAACCTTTGAATGTTTAAATGAATCCTTAAGTGTATACTCAAACATTAAACTGCATAACTCGTCACAAAGATTTATGGTCTTGTAAAGCACGTGATTAGAGCGCCTCCTAACGATGTCTGCATTAATTGATTTAAAGTTTCACTAAAGCCTTTTACAGTAATGCCTTAGAATTGAAATTATGTAGAAATGGTAAAAATACATTAAAATTATTAATCTGTAAAAATAAAATTACTTAACGAGTAAATATGGAATTGAATATGTTACGTAAAGCAAAATTCTGTATAGAATTATAAGTTATTTTTGATAGTGTTGATGTCATATCTATTTTAACTACAAAATGAATGTCTAAGTTAATTGTACCGAGAGTTATTATATGCAGAAATCCTCGCATTCCTTCGAGATATGTTTGTTCATTAGTAAGTTCAGTATACTGTTTTACGCTGATAATTCTGGTAGACTTCATTTGTTGGTTTATTTCTTAATTGGGATACTCCGAAAGGCTTTCATGCGGTTAGTAATTATGATGCTTTGAACGATAGTGCTGTTACTATGCAAATATATGTAAAATATGTTAAGCATTTATTATACGTGTAGGTACGTGTCTTAAGTCCTAGGTAAAGTCTTGAGAGGAATGACAGATTATTTCAATATTCCATATTAAAATTAATAGTTTACACTGATTTATTATTGAGCTCTTTATTTAACACATTAGATTTTTTTGTCCGGTAATGTTTATTTTTCACATATAAATAAATACATAAAAGGAGCAATGACTCGAAATTTTATAATTTATTTAACAAAAGGTTAGAGTTCATTTGGCATAAAGTGCATTATGTGTGCGATATACTTATCCTACCTAAAAAAATACACAATATAAATTTTGACTCGTCATTTAGACATTTTGCTGGTATTTTTGACTTTCATTTAGCAAAAGTTTACAGAATTTGAAATTGAATAATATTTACAGATAGCGAAAGATATTATGAAAAAATCTTACAAAAATACAGTCGAATTGAGAATCTCCTCCTTTTTGAAGTCGGTTGAAAACACATTTTTTTTTCTTTAATACCTAACATATAATAATATAGAATTAGATCTTTTTATACTGCATTGTTATTAATATGTAAAAGTGATGCAATTCAAGTGACATTAAGATAAATTACGTGTATAATGGAATTTCTCTTGAATCAAGCCAGTTACGGTCATTATGGACACTTTCAAAAAAAACTATAGGTACGTCTGAGGTAACATTTGTTTGTGACGAATTATTTATACATCTCACTTTTGAAGAAGTGACGAACGTCACGCGTATCCAATTAAAAAAATAAATTTTATTAAGTAATTACTAACATTGTCTTAATATTGTATTTTTTATAGTTTTATTAATAAAATATTTACTTAAACAAAGTTTGATAAGATATTCAATTATTATTTATGTCTATAGTTAAAGAATTTGGAATATTTTTACGATATTCGGACAGACAAAAATATTTATTGCCTGAGTATATCTGAGTTTTATATACAGTCTAAGTAAAAAATACGATGCCTCGTACCTGCTAGTGCTTGAAAAGAGAATCAACATCTACAATAATTAACCTTGCAAGTTTGTTTTAATTAATCACAATAAACAGACTGAATGTGTTTGCTAATTCTTCAGGATATAACGACTTAACGGATTTGATTGTAACTGAGAATGGAGCTTATATTCTGGATAACAGCACCGGCTTTATCACGGTAATATTACATATACATTACCGTGGCTTTATCGACCTGCCTACTTTATGGGCATAAACTATGGTAAGAGTACTATATAAATGTTAAGTAAACTCAAGTCATACTGTTTCTATGTAATTAAGTTCAATATAAATAACAACCTACATCTACATGTTTATATATAAATACTAGCGATTTAGGGGCGTCCCTATTTACCTTTTGTATATATAATATTACTAACGGCTCGGGTTCGCCTCTAGAAAAACAAAAATAAATCTATCTTTTGGGAACCGTATATTTTTCCGGCATAAAAAGAATGTAGCTATGTGTTATTCCCGACTATAATCAATCACTGTGCCAAATTTTATCCAGATCCGTTAAGCCGTTCTGGCGTTAGAGAGTAACAAACATCTATACTTACAGACCTTCACATTTATAATATTTATACAGATATACATAGGCAGCGTCACCTTTTGGCATATATTGTTACTAACAGGTGTTATTGAAGGTCATAGTTTATGTGTACTTTTCCATCTAAATCCGTCCAGTCATTTCAAAGTCAAGAAGTAACAAACATACACACATTCAAACTTTCGCAATTATAATATTAGTTTGATGTATATATAATAATTTTATACAAACAAACTATACAAATCATAGAGGAAGCTACAGAAATATTGAATTTCCTTGTCTAGCCCAATACGGCACTAATATATTCCATCGTCCCTTGCATAATGAAACGCAATCTGCTCGATAAAGGAATAAATCCTGGAGTACGCTATCATTAGTGGTCGCCCGAACGGGACACAATGGTTATCAATACCGATTGAAATTGTGTATTACATACTAGCTACTGTCTGTGGCTTCACCCGCATATGTACTTCTACTACTGCGCACTTGTGTATATATGCAGGTATCATTTATAAGAATTTTCAATCATTTATTATTTATTTTTATATACATATAGAATAAAATATACACACATTTGTACTAATAAAATTCAGTATGGTTATAATGATCGAAGAATTAGCCCTTATGACACTATTTTTATATGTATAACAAGCGATTCACACTCGCTCCGCTCGGGTTCGCCCTTGGTTACGTTTTAAGGTTTTGCTCAGAGATAAGATATTTTCTTACAGTAAAATGTGTATTGTCCACTAGTTTTCTCGTGATGCAATCATAGACAGCCAAACAGGCAGACAAACATCCTAAAAACGATAGATTCAGCCTCTGTATCGATGATAATGACTATATCAATAAGATTTTCCAAAAAATATTTAAAATACAGATTCGACTCAGTTAGAATTTTATTATATGTATAGATTTCATAGCTAGAGCACAAAAGTAAGAAATATTTTCGATTAGAAGCAAGAATACTTAGAATCGATTTCTATCAATCGAAATATTATGTTAACTGAAATGCTCGCTCGAGGCTTCTTCAACATATGCCATGGCTGTTATATGTAATGTTATTGGATTTCAAGAGAGTGTAGTTCAAATCAAAACCAATTTCACGGTTGTAGTCTTAATAATTGGCAAGATTACGTATACCTCGTATAAATAATTACTTACTAATCTATTTATAAAAAAAATATGATGTGTCTGTCTGTGATTTCTAAACAGTTATCCAACATATGTTCATATGTATTTAGTATTTAGCCCTTTATAACGTCCCACTTCTGGGGACTGGCATCCCTTCGATACGATAGGAATCAGACTATTCACTCCAGCGTCCACTAAGCTGGCCAAGTGCTCTTGGTCGGTTTTACATGTTTATCGATAGCTAATTAGACAACATAATCCATTTTGAAGTGAAATTAATATTCATAGCGCCTGAACCGATTTTCACGGCATTTTCACTGAAAATTCGGTGCAGACTCTAGAGTCATATTGTGAACTTTTTATACTAAAAAATATACTTCCTTTTCTCTCCAGCATAGCGTAGGCAAGCCTTTTGTAGCATTTAAAGCTTACAATTTTTTTCATCTAAATCTTTCAGAATCCATACTTAATATTTTAAACGTGAAAGTATTTTTGTTTCTTTGTTGTCCTTCTTTCACGTCGAAACGGATTGACGGATTGGCGTGATTTTTTTGTGCGGAGATAGTTGGAGTGACATAGGCTACTTTTTACCGCGGTATATTATCTCATTCCCACTGAGAATTACTTGAAACTTGGTATTAATACTCTTCAATTAAACAAACACGTGTTTTAGTATTTTTCGAAATTCTTTCCATAAGGGGGTAAAATAGGGGATGAAAGTTTGTATGAAAACTATGTTTTTAGAGTTTTTTTGTAGTTTTAGCGCCAGCGGCCGTTCGCTCTGCTAGTATTTCTTATATATTATAATGTAAAGCCGATTTAACACTGTAAACGGCTAATAGGTTAACGAGGGAGTTTAAATAAGTACATATATATTACCCGCAATTATGACTGTGTAACGGTGTTTGGAAGTCGGACACGGGAAATGTCGTGTACTGGCTGTATTTACATATAAATTGAGTAGGCTTCATTGTCACTGAACTGATGTTAACAGGACTCTGGGCACGCAAACTATTCCTAAGTAAAGGGACCATTTCACTGCACTATGCAAAACGAGAGAAATCATAATTACTTTTTAATTACAACGCTATATCATCGTCAAAATTAATTTACTCTCGGGAAAACATCAACTTGAAAGTTTCTAGTCAATCTGACCATTAAAAGTAGGTAAAAAGGCTAAATATATGTCTTTACATACTTGAAATTTCATGGTTTTTTTTCTGATTCTTCGGAAAACGGTACTCACACATTCTTTGTCAAAGTAAATTTTATGGGATGACCCCGAGGTATACTTTAGTAAAAAACAATTTAGACACAAACGAAATTGGTCCAGACTTTTCCGTGAAATCTGTGAACATATCTAAAACACCTCCTCTTTTATGGCAGTCGGTTAAAAAGTGATTCTTCCCTTAGGAGTGATTAGCATTTGAATTTTTTTCTTGAAATTGTATTATTTCTCGAGGTGAATCACTAATTAATAAAGAATAGTCGAGTCCCACTGGGGGCATTCATGTGTGTTCAGAGCACGAATGTTTGTACTCCAGTCATGGGTGTTTATATTTATAATATGTATATATTTAAAGTTATATAGGTATATATAGTGTAACAACTATCTGGTATCTATAACACACGCCTCGTAGCTTACCATGGAACTAGATGCCGCTGTGTGTTAATGTCCCAACATATTTATTTATATTTATTTAATAACAAAAAATAGTTTAATAGATATCACATAACATATATGTACTAAGAAAACGTACACTGACTTGATTTTGTGAAGCCGTTCAAGTAGGTAAATTTGATAGAGGATTAATTTTTAGCGCCTTTAGTGAGAGATTTTTTCTAAAAAAAAATGTAATAATTATAATAATAACAGCTAAAATTAAATAAATAATATTCCATATACAATTATAAAACTAATTAAAATCATAAAAATGTTTAAAATTAAAAAATATTGTAAGATACTTTGGTGCCTTTTTTCAATTTTTTGAATTCTTTTTTTTTATTTGTGGGAAGGCTATCTGTAACAACTATATAATACCTTTGAGACATCTAATACTGTCTCTCTCGTGAACATAATTGCTATAAAGCATTCAAAATGTCGGGAACCAAAAATCCAACTAAATCCGTGAAAAAATCCGAAAAGATAGTTTTATTTAAAATCATAAATCGAATCACACCTCAATAAATAAATTGCGTTATATTTATTTATTTTTTTACATAACTCATAGCGTAGTGGAACAAAGCTCCTGTAAGTAAGATTTATAGCGAGTAGGCTTGACGTGGACAAAATAGGAATAATGACGCCAAACCGTCCACCTAACTGCAAAGTGGCTGGCTTATCTTATACTGCTCTACCTAACATGGAAAATGCAGCTTATAATACATTTGTTGTAACTTCTAAGTGATTTAGTTGTTTTATTTGAATTTCAAAATAGTGACCTGCTTGTCATATATCTGATGTATACGTTTGATTTCCATTTGTGATTGAGATTTTTGAATAAAATTACTGGTAAATATTATTATGCAGTTTAAAGATTATTCTGATAAACCAAATATTTTTTTCCATGAAAGCTTTATAAAAAAAATTCCCCTTGCTAAATTAACACGTCGATCCACAAACCAATAACCATATTTCGCAATTTATAATCTATATATATAAAAGAAAGTCGTGTTAGTTACTTCGCTTATAACTCAAGAACGGCTGAACCGATTTAGCTGAAAATTGGCAGGGAGGTAGTTTAGAGCCAGGAGAAGGACATAGGATACTTTTTATCCCGTTCGACCGCGTTCCAATTTTTATGATATTTTAATTTTTGGATTTCTCTTAGTCCGGAATAGGTAAGTATTAAAACATATAATTAAAATGTGAGAAAGAAAGATTTTTTCTTTTTATATCTATTTAAAACGTACCTAGCGACGAACCCGAGCGAAGCGAGGGTGAGCCGCTAGTATTGATAATAAAAATAGTAAGAATACCTAGGTATTATGGTAATAAATTAAACATAAAAACCATAACAAAACACCTTTAATGAATCACCTTTGAAACAAGCGCGGTATAGTTAAAAGTATAGTGTTGTAAACGCGCGGTGATTACGATAATTGTAGCTGAAGTGATATGAATTAAACGGTAAAGTTTAATTTATATCTCAATCTAGTAATCATTATTCATGTTCAATAAATGCATGGAGTTAAACTATAAATATTAACTATTTACCGCGGGCGCATCTGATAAATAAATGTATGAATGCATTCACACCCCCCGCGGAGTACGGTTAGCAAAAGAAATAAGAGCGTAATGTATTAAAATTTTATTTCTATATGGTAATTTTGTAATAGTTTGATAATATATCTAATTCATATAAAAATAAAAAATAAATCATACGTAGGTACCCACGTCATATGAGATTAATATGAGATTTTTTAATCCTAAATTGATTTAAGTAAGTTATAAATTAGTATACTTATATCTAAAAAAGCAACTAATGTAATGGCTTCTTATGTGTTTTGATAATTTTTGTCGAGCATATTTTTCATTGAGTGACTATGGCCATAAATTAGCATGATACTAAAGGCCAACTTTATTTCGCTTTCTTTAAATGTGTTAAAATTTGTAATAAAACTGATTACCTCACATGAGAATCGAAGCCACAATACAGACTTTTATGCTACCAACAATTAAAATGAGTGCCCTATCAATTTTTTTTATATTATTTCTCACTATTACATTTTTAGCGTTCTATTTCTTTGCTATCTGTACTTTAAGTAAATAAGCTTCAGTAATATCTGCATATTGAAGGTAAGATGTATCTAAAGTATTTTGTAATAATGCGTCAATTTCTGAACGCCCGTCGACATAATACCATCACACTATGATATCTCCCGTGATAAATGCCAACAAAAGTATTGACCGGCGCTCGTTATTGCTACCTCCAATAGAATTAATCTTAGTCAGGAAGTAAGAGAGAGTAATTTATAAGAGAATCTAACTTTCAAGGTTATTGAAGTTATTGTAAGTTTCCATACTAATATTTTTACTATGTATCTACTTAAAAAAATATTAAAATTATCAAATATTTATTTTATTTTTTATAAGTACATGATGATTAATATCAATAACAAGTAATTTTATTTTAGTAAAATTTAATTATTCTAATAACTTCTAATTTTTATGCAATAAAAAATAATATTTTTGGCGACATTTCTTTTTTAAGGAAAATAACAAGTTATTTGTGTGTTCCAAATAAATAAAACGGTAATTTAAAAAGGTCACAAAGGAAAGTTGTAAATGTATTACATTAATCCCTTGATAAATGTCTCAAAGTATAGCGTGTCCTTAAATATATATATATATATATATATATATATATATATATATATATATATATATATATATATACAAAAAAAATTGTAACTGATCGCTGTTTGTACGCTGAAGATATTTGAGAAAAACTATTATTGGGATTCTTTATTTATGCAATAGAACCCAAAACAATGATTTTAATTTATTTTCTCTATTTGTCTGTGTGTTTGTATGCGCTAATGATCTGAATGAATGATTTGGGTGCGGTTTTCAGTAATGTTTTGTGGTAAACGTCACTTAAGTTAATATTTATTATATATAAATATAAATATTATGTTGGGACGTTAGCACACAGCACCATCTAGTTTCATGGTAAGTTACGAGGCTTGTGTTATGGATACCAGATAGTTGATCCACTACACATATATAACTTTAAACACATACATATTATAAGTATAAACACCCATGACTGGAGTACAAACATTCGTGCTCACCACACAAATGAATGCCCCCAGCGGGACTCGAACCCATGGCCGCTGGCACAGCAAGTAGGGTCACTACAAACTAAGCCAAACGTGTCGTCAAATGTCATGTTTTATTTTAATCGGTTCATTAATAAAAAAAGAGAGTGAGTAGCTAAAAAACTAACTTTAGTAAAAAATGTCCAATGAATAAATAACAAATGTTAACTATTATCGAGTTTTAAACGAAAGTAGAGACTAAACGACTCCATCAAAATAAGCTATATATGGCATTCACTTTTTATCATTAAATAATTATAACGTTTTTAAATATACACTACTAAAGTGGCATCGTCGTAAAGTGATGAAGATAAATATAATTGAGTTGAATTTACGATTGCAATAATTAAATTAAAGAGAAAATTACTTTCAAACGATAGCGAACGTGAATGAAGTGAAAACTTTTTCTTTTTATTGTAAGGTAGATGTAACTCACGTTTCCGTCTTCACGATCGATCGCGATGCAATATACTATACTAGCGGACCCGACAGACGTTGTCCTGTCTACACGTCTTTAATTTGAAAATTTCAAACTTTTTTTAATAATTTTTTTGATGAAAATTATTATTCAAATTGTGAATCTAAACCATTCCCAGATCCCCTTGAACACACACAAAAAATTTCATCAAAATCGGTCCAGTCGTTTGAGAGAAGTTCAGTGACATACACACTCACAGAAGAATTATATATATAAAGATTTAGACTTCTTAAAATTTGGAATATACGTATATATAATATGTATCATACAATAAATTCTGTTAGATACTATGCCTAATGGATTAAATAAAGGAAGGATTTGAACACGAATTGTTTCTACTCGTATCTTAAGAAATTGTTTTGTTATCTTTATCTATATATGCATTTTTATATTCATACTAGCATTGCCCGCGGCTTTGCCCGCGTTCAGATGACCAAAAACCAAATTCTTAGGTTTTACATATTAGTATACTCTTACATTACATTTTTGTATTTTCTCTCAGAAATGAGATATTTTCCGCAGTAAAAAGTACCTATCCTATATGTTGACCCGGTTAACCACCTATCACCATACCAAATTTCACCAAAATCCCTCCAGTGGTTTTTCTGTGATACGGTAACAGACAGACAGACAGATAGATAGACATACAGACAGATAGATAGACATACAGACAAAAATTCTAAAAACTATAGATTCGGCCTCTGTATTGGTAAAAATGTCTATTTCAATAAG